GCACAGCCCCAAAGATGGTAAGATCCTACGCACCATGCAGGTCAAGATTAAACCGACATTTTTGGCCGTTGATGACGACAACAGAATCCTCGTCAGCGATTGCCACAATATACTCGAAGTCGACGAAAGCAGCACTGAATCCATCACCTTCCAACCAACGATACAGGGTCGAACAGCTGAAGTATTTGGTTTATGCTGCAACAAAAGGGATATCTTCGTGGGTCTATATGCGGACCAACGCTACAGCGGGCTCATACATCGGCTTGATAACCGAGGGAAGTTCGTTGAATGCATTGACAGGCACCCTCTAATTAACCCGCCCCATGGGATTACTATCACTGGTCAGCAATATCTTGCAGTGGGAGGGTTCGACAACGTTACGATATACAAAGGTAAATCAGATTGAAACAACTGGACGGAAATATGAGAGTTTAATCCATCAAGTTTGATCAAATTTCGTTAAATATTAAGACAATTGAATGGGGTGAAATTCATTCCGGAAAGATTTGCCTAATATGTTTGCAAAGTTAGTCGGTCTGAAGGTCGGTGGTTGATATCGGGCGTTATTTTTTTTTTTAGGTCATTTGAATGTTTTTTCTTGAACATTCGCAATGTCTTTATGGGTAATATGTTTCGTTCTTTTAAATTTATATTGTGCCATATTATATTAAACAGAAATGGACGAAGAATTCAAAACACAAGAAAAGGATAGATTGGGCCACACAGAGACAAGAAGAGCCCTAACAGAGCCATTAGCACAAGGTGAAGATTCGCATCACATACACGGTGAGTCAAAACAAAAGTGACCTGAATTAAAGTTTTTTTTCCCTCAAATTTCAAACACCAAGGAAGTATATCTCAAAAAATACCATCTTCTTCCTCTTAGTTCAAAATGAAAAAAGAAAAGATTTACTGAAATTGTTCCATATTACCCGAAGTTATGCACGTTTATTTAAATGCAACTATGAGTTGGACTAGATGCAACTATTTAAATGCAACTAATGAAGCTATTGAGCTGAACGAGAAGACAGATTACACAAAGGGGGTTTAGATAAAAATGAGATTTCTTGAACATGTCAAGATTTTATCACAAAAATATGGTTAATAAGATTAAAATGAACTCATTGAACTTCATCCAATGGCATGTTTTTCACTTAGTTGAGCAAAACGAACAGGATGTTTTTCAGATAAAAACTGGCGTGTCTTTTCTTTCCACGGTGCTGCCATTCCGACTGTGACTGGCATTCGCCGATATTTTGTTACATGCGCACAAACTAAGTGAGCGGGATGATCATACGTTCTCGGCGGATAATGGACTCGGGGCCGCAGTGTTCGAATTCTTACTGCGGATTGCCCGTTCTTAGCCCAAACGCGTCTTCTTTTTCTCCTCTCTTTCATGGATCTGAAGTCATTGCTGTTCCATCACTTGAGGCAAACCTTTATGCAACAACTTTATGTCCAATTCTCCATGTACACTATATGATAATGGACACCCCCTCTCTTGTTTTCCTTCTCGCATTACTGAACAGGTCTACTCGCCTTCATCACTCCAAAGAAGGTTGCTAAAATAATTAAAACCATGGAAGCTTGGAACTTTCAAACGTACTGGCCCTGATATAACCCCTGTTATTGCAATGAAAACGTGTTCCCCGGAACTTTCTGCAGTTTTGTCCAAGCTATTTAACATGTCTAGATTGCCTCTGTATCTCCATCGTCTTGGTAAGTGGCGTCTGAGTTTTGTTGACATTATTCGAGGATTTAACGAAGGCATGGTCGGTAGAGACTCATGTGGCAGATAAGTGTCTGACCCTTTTAAGATCTCCGATGGAGTAAAACAGGGTTGTGTTTTAACACCAGCCCTGTTCTATCTGTTCCTGTCAGCAGTTCTGAAGACTCTGATAGACAAACTAAGTTATGTTGTCTTTATAAATTCCCGACAAGATGGGAAGTTATTCAATCTGGCAAGACTCTGAGCAAAAACAAAGGTGAGAGAGGTCTGTGTTAGAGAGCTGCTCTTGCTGACAACTCTGACCTTGTGGCTCACACCTTTGCGGACATCCAGGAGGTCACCATCCACTTCGCTGAAGCCTCTCAGAAGTTCGGCCTCACTAGTAATATAAACAGACAAGTATGCGTTTTACAAACTATCCAACACCCAGCAAACCCTACACTCACCCGCCCTTCCGAGCTGCAGTCAGTCCCTAATTTCACATATCTGGGGAGTGCAGTTAGATTCCACGACACCTTTGATGCTGAGATTTCTATTCGCATCCAAGCTAAAGCAAAGGTGAAAACGTGTTTGGTCATAGCATGGTGAACTCGCTTGGACCAAACACGTTTTCTAAGCATTCTAAACAAAGTGCAAGATCTATCGTGCTCTTGACCTAACTACATTGCTGTACTCGGCTGATGACATGTACATTCAATATAGACGACAAACCAGGAAATTAACTAGCGTGTAGTTACGACACCTGATACAGATCCTTGGAAATTCTTGGAAGGACCCGAATTACAAATGTTGTGGTCCTGTAACGTGGCAACATGCTAAGTGTTGAGTCTGTGCCCCTTACTGCCCAGTTGATATGGGATGTGTGTTTAGTACGGATAGATGAGTCAGGCTGTTTTCTATATTGGACAACTGGGAAGCAACAGCACAAAATCGTACAGAGTGGAGGGCTTCCATCAGGATATGAGCTCAGAAAGTCGAATTGACAACATCGGACACGTATGAGAAGCAACGCGCCAGGCGTGATAATCCTCAATCTCCATCTGTCTTCTGTCGGTTTTGTAACAGGGACTTTGAGACAGAGAGAAGTTCACAGTATCGACTAAAAATATCATTATCTTTTATTATTTTTCAAACCAGATGTCGATGAGTACTTTTTGCAAAGGAGTGTTTTATCCCGGGATACCAGAATAAAGGGCATACACTTTTGCAGGCTCATGGTCTGGCATGCGGAGTATGTGCCCAAGGAACTTGAGCTACCCAGTTCTTGCACTCTCCACAAGAGGGTTTGAGTTGGTCATAGTATCGATGGTGGCATTGGGGACATGGTCGGTGCGCTTGATGCTCAGCATAATGCGGTAGCAAGAGGTAGCAAAAGTGTTCATTTTTCTTTCCATGTCTTTCAATTCAATTCAATTCAATTTATTATACTCGTCACGTAAAAAAACATGAAAGTTGATTTCAGATTACCATGTCTCACATCCATAGAGGAGAACTGTGTCAATAACTTCATTTTGGTGATAATTGGTAACGAGTGGCTTCTCCACAGCTGTTCCAACTTCCAAAAAGTCGTTCAGACCAGTGCCTTGCGTCTTTTGAGGTCGGTTGCGCTGGATTCTACCATTGATCCCAGATATTTAAAATCAGTCACATGTTTTATTGGACTGCCGTGGACATGAAGTGAGGAGGAAGGCTCGCAATGTGCCGTAATGTACTCCGTCTTGGGTACATTAATTATGAGGCCAACGCCTTCTGCTACTGAAGCTGAAGCTGCTCCAGAATCCAAACCAGCGGTGGCTTTGTTTAGAAGGTAGTCAACAACTATGATGAACACAAAAGGAGCAAGCACATCCCTTTGCAGAACTCCAGTGGATACATCAAAACGCTCTGAGATTCTTCCACCCACCATAACAGCACTTTCAGAGTTAAGATACATGGCTTGAATGGCGCTAACCACTGCTTCGGGTATGCCATATTGGCGTAATATGGAAAACATTACAGCTCTGTTGATGGAGTCAAAGGCTTTCCTGAAGTCAATACAGGTGACAGCAAGAGGAAGTTGGTAGTCTTTAAAGCCTTCCATTACCCTTCGAAGGACGTGAATCTGCTGAGCACAACTGCGTCCCGGACGGAAGCCAGCTTGGTTGCTCCTCAGTTTTGAATCAACGACGGGGCAAATCCTGTTCAGCAGAATTTTGTTAAAAACTTTTGCAGCTATTGATGTGATACTTATCCCGCGGTAGTTAGTCATGAGAGAGAGATTCCCTTTGCCTGGGCAGTGGTACGATGACATTTGTGGTCCAGTGATGTGGTGGTGATAATGTTGTATACGCCTCAACACAGAAATTATGGACGGCGTCTATTATTTGATCAGCTCCACTCTGTAGAGCTTCAGCAGTTATTGCACAATCAAGACCCGCTGCCTTGTTGGTTCTCAAAGCTTTGATGGCTTTGGCTGTCTTGTACCGTGAAGGAGAGTCGATGATGATGGGTAAGTCCTTCACAGCAGGTGGGGGTAACTCCGATGGAGGGCCATTTACATTAATGAGTAAGTAGCTGACATATTTGCTCCACTCTGAAAGCAGTTCTGAATCACTAGCAGGGACTGTTCCATCTCTCTTTTGACTTTGACACTTGTTCTTTTGTCATTCCCCGAGAGGTCATGGATAATTTTCCATGTAGTGGTGTAGTCTCCCATTTCGTCTGCTAGCTTGAGATCATCTATCTGTTTGTTGAGTGCGGCATTTTCATCCCTCTTGTATGATTCGTTCAGAGAGGTGTTAAGTTTCCTCCACTTCTCCCTTGATTGTTGTGATTTTGATATTGAGTACCTCTTTTTGGCCTCATCTCTTTCATCTTTGAGTTCGATGGGTTTTTTCCTGACACCAAGCTTGGCATTTCACATGGTCTGCGTTCCTCCGATCACATTTTCAACCACTTCTTTTACAGCGGTTTCGAAGCTGTCATACCGTTCAGAAATTGTTGAAGTGATGTCATTCTGGAGTGCTTTAAATCTTTTGGATAGCTCGAGTTGAAACTTCTCCTTGATGGCAGGGTTTTGCAGTCTCTTTCAGTTGAACTTTGGTCGTCGAGATGGCTTATCCTTGCTAGTTCTAAGACTGGTGACTAGGGTAATGCTGACATGCGATGGTCAGAATCCAGTTCTACTGTGCTGTAAGCACGGCAATTCCGTATAGAGTTAACCTTGTAAACACTTGTTGTTTATCAAAATGTAATCCAGCTGATGCACAGAGCCTGAGGGGTGACGCCATGATCAGAATCGTGATTTAGGCTGGGGGAATCTCATTTGTGCTGGAGATTTATGCAAGTTGTTTTCTTCACACATGGTGACTAGCCGCTCACCATTGTCATTTGTGGTCTCATAAAAGCAGTGTCGTCCTACAACTGTCGGGTGATGGGAATGGCTGTCTAGTCCAACTCTGGCGTCGAAATCACCTAGGACTTGGGTGATGTTGTGCCTCTTGACTTGGTCCAAGTAGTCAGTCAGTGAAGTGTAGAATGCATCCTTGTCAGAAACGGCGGAGCACTCCGTTGGAGCATACACAATGGTGATGATTAACTGGGGATTTTCATAGAATGTTGCTGTTAGAATTCTGTTGGTGATGACGTGAACACACTGGAGACATTTGTAGATGTGTTTAGACATGAGTAGTCCAACGCCCCCCAATCTCCTGTCAGTGGCTGAGCTGTAAACAAGTACCCAGTTCTTATCATCAGACCATAGCTCTTCAGTTGGGTTAGAGGTAATTAGCCGATGCTCTTGTATGCCGACTATATCAATACCAGCATCAGCACAACCAAAGAACAGCTGACGGGTTTTCCCTTGTTGATATAGGGTACAAACATTGTAGGTGGACACAACAAGGGGTTTGAAGGTAGGCAGACGACGCTTATCAGGACCAACGGTCCGTGATGACTTCCCGGTTTCCCGCCGGCCCGTCATGAAGTCATTAGTAGACGGACGCCTAGCTTTTATTATTATTATTATTATTAGCAACCAAGGCATCTAAAATGGTTGGATTAAAAACATTTTGAAAGATATTTAAATAACATTTGAGTTTAAAATATTAAAACTTTTAAATAGCAATGCACATTAAACATTAAAACCTCCTATAAAAAAAAATCAATCCAAACCAAGTTACTGGAAACATGCTTTCACAGACCTAGAACATGACTAATAGAGCTCCACCGGACATGACAAATATTTAAATTTAAAAACAAAACATTTCCGTTATAACACATATTTAAATCATTTAGACACACATGCATTCACAGGTAACTTAACACGATATAAAAACACTTCAACCTAAAATACTCATTAATATCAACATCATTATCAACCAATAACATTGCCAAAAAATGACTAACGATTAGGACTGTAAATTATAGAGACACCAGGGAATGAAACTATTCTTTAGTCTGTTCGTTTTACAGAACTGACTGGCTGAACTGGCAGGCTGAACTGTCTTTGGTTCCTTAATGCATACGATACAGGCTTGTGTTTTTCGAGCAAATGATTCAGCCTATGGTTAGGATTTGACATGTCAGCGAATAACTGCTCAATGAAGTATTTAGATTCATTGTTGTAGTTTTCGTAATCGTTTCTTTGCCAGACAATATTTTAGTCCAGGTCTGGAAAAAAACTGAACGGGTGATTGGCCCTGAACAGCCTATTTCCGGAGGCGAACAGCCTATTTCCGGAGGCAAACAACGGCCGAGCTCTACTGAATATGATGTAGATAGCTCCTGGCCAGGAACACGAAAGCCAGAAGTGGAAATGTGACTTGTAGAGAGGTGTTAAGCACTTATATTGGCAACCAACCAAGGCTACGAGCCCCACCCGCCCAAGTTTAGAATCAGAGAATCACTCTCCTAGGTAAGCATCCAACAAAGGCTACGATCACCACCAGTCCTGCCCGAGCCTTGAACCAGAGTATCACTCTCCTAGGTGAGCAGTCAATCAAAGCTACGAGCCCCACCTGCCCGAGTTTAGAATCAGGGTATCACTCTCCTAGGTGAGCAGCCAACCAAGGCTACGAGCCCCACCTGCCCGAGTTTAGAATCAGAGTATCACTCTCCTAGGTGAGCAGCCAACCGAGGCTACGAGCCCCACCTGCCCGAGTTTAGAATCAGGGTATCACTCTCTTAGGTGAGCAGCCAACCAAGGCTACGAGCCCCACCTGCCCGAGTTTAAAATCAGAGTATCACTCTCCTAGGTGAGCAGCCAACCAAGGCTACGAGCCCCACCTGCCCGAGTTTAGAATCAGGGTATCACTCTCCTAGGTGAGCAGCCAACCAAGGCTACGAGCCCCACCTGCCCGAGTTTAGAATCAGGGTATCACTCTCCTAGGTGAGCAGCCAACCAAGGCTACGAGACCCACCTGCCCGAGTTTAGAATCAGGGTATCACTCTCCTAGGTGAGCAGCCAACCAAGGCTACGAGCCCCACCTGCCCGAGTTGAGAATCAGAGTATCACTCTCCTAGGTGAACAGTCAACCGAGGCTACGAGCCACACCTGCCCGAGTTTAGAATCAGGGTATCACTCTCCTAGGTGAGCAGCCAACCAAGGCTACGAGCTCCACCTGCCTGAGTTTAGAATCAGAGTATCACTCTCCTAGGTGAGCAGCCAACCAAGGCTACGAGCCCCACCTGCCTGAGTTTAGAATCAGGGTATCACTCTCCTAGGTGAGCAGCCAACCAAAGCTACGATCCACACCTGCCCGAGTTTAGAATCAGGGTATCACTCTCCTAGGTGAGCAGCCAACCAAGGCTACGAGCCCCACCTGCCTGAGTTTAGAATCAGGGTATCACTCTCCTAGGTGAGCAGCCAACCAAGTCTACGAGCCCCACCTGCTCGAGCTTCGAACCAGAGTATCACTCTCCTAGGTGGAAACGGAGTATCACTCTCCTAGGTGAGCAGCCAACCAAGGCTACGAGCCCCACCTGCCCGAGCTTCGAACCAGAGTATCACTCTCCTAGGTGGAAACAGAGTATCACTCTCCTAGGTGAGCAGCCAACCAAGGCTACGAGCTCCACCTGCCCGAGTTTAGAATCAGGGTATCACTTTCCTATGTGAGCAGCCAACCGAGGCTACGAGCCCCACCTGCCCGAGTTTAGAATCAGAGTATCACTCTCCTAGGTGGAAACAGAGTATCACTCTCCTAGGTGAGCAGCCAACCAAGGCTACGAGCTCCACCTGCCCGAGTTTAGAATCAGGGTATCACTTTCCTATGTGAGCAGCCAACCGAGGCTACGAGCCCCACCTGCCCGAGTTTAGAATCAGGGTATCACTCTCCTAGGTGAGCAGCCAACCAAGGTTACGAGCCCCACCTGCCTGAGTTTAGAATCAGAGTATCACTCTCCTAGGTGAGCAGCCAACCAAGGCTACGAGCCCCACCTGCCTGAGTTTGGAACCAGAGTATCATTCTCTCCTAGGTCAGCAGCCAACAAAGGCTACGAGCCCCACCTGTCTGAGTTTGGAACCAGACTATCACTCTTCTAGGTGAGCAGCCAACCAAGGCTACAAGCCACACCTGCCCGAGTTTAGAATCAGGGTATCACTTTTCTAGGTGAGCAGCCAACCAAGGCTACGAGCCCCACCTGCCCGAGTTTAGAATCAGAGTATCACTCTCCTAGATGAGCATCCAACAAATGCTACGAGCCCCACCTGCCCGAGTTTGGAACCAGAGTATCACTCTCCTAGGTGAGCAGCCAACCAAGGCTACGAGCCCCACCTGCCTGAGTTTGGAATCAGGGTATCACTCTCCTAGGTGAGCAGCCAACCAAGGCTACGAGCCCCACCTGCCCGAGTTTGGAACCAGAGTATCACTCTCCTAGGTGAGCAGCCAACCAAGGCTACGAGCCCCACCTGCCCGAGTTTTGAACCACAGTATCACTCTCCTAGGTGAGCAGCCAACCAAGGCTACGAGTCCCACATGCTCGAGTTTAGAATCAGAGTATCACTCTCCTAGGTGAACAGCCAACCAAGGCTACGAGCCCCACCTGCCCGAGTTGAGAATCAGGGTATCACTCTCCTAGGTGAGCAGCCAACCAAGGCTACAAGCCCCACCTGCCTGAGTTTAGAATAAGAGTATCACTCTCCTAGGTGAGCAGCCAACCAAGGCTACGAGCCCCACCTGCCTGAGTTTGGAACCAGAGTATCACTCTCTCCTAGGTGAGCATCCAACAAAGGCTACGAGCCCCACCTGCCTGAGTTTGGAACCAGACTATCACTCTTCTAGGTGAGCAGCCAACCAAGGCTACGAGCCACACCTGACCGAGTTTAGAATCAGGGTATCACTCTCCTAGGTGAGCAGCCAACCAAGGCTACGAGCCCCACCTGCTCGAGTTTTGAACCACAGTATCACTCTCCTAGGTGAGCAGCCAACCAAGGCTACGAGTCCCACATGCTCGAGTTTAGAACCAGAGTATCACTCTCCTAGGTGAGCAGCCAACCAAGGCTACGAGCCCCACCTGCCTGAGTTTGGAATCAGGGTATCACTCTCCTAGGTGAGCAGCCAACCAAGGCTACGAGCCCCACCTGCCTGAGTTTTGAACCAGAGTATCACTCTCTCCTAGGTGAGCATCCAACAAAGGCTACGAGCCCCAACTGCCTGAGTTTGGAACCAGAGTATCACTCTTCTAGGTGAGCAGCCAACCAAGGCTACGAGCCCAATCTGCCCGAATTTAGATTAAGGGTATCACTCTCCTAGGTGCGCAGCCAACCAAGGCTACGAGCTCCACCTGCCTGTGTTTGGAATCAGAGTATCACTCTCCTAGGTGAGCAGCCAACCAAGGCTACGAGCCCCACCTGCCCGAGTTTAGAATCAGAGTATCACTTTCCCATGGCTGACGAGCCCCACCTACTCGGAGCGGTCTGGTTTTAAGGCGCCAGAGATCCGCCTGCACACCTCTGCCCTCAGTTGGAAATAGGGATCTTCACGAGAAGCCGGGCAGTAGGAGTGTGAATAGGAGAGGCTATTGGCAACGCAGACCAAATAGGACATTTCTTTGAAACACTCGCTTCCTAAAAGTGGCACAGAATGTGTTTTTTTTTGTCTTTGCGGTTATTGAAACGTATCTCTATATTTACAATAGCAATCTTAACTAAACAAACGGTATTTTCAAGCTAAGTCTGTGTTCTTGAGGATCGTGTAAACAGTTGCAGTAAATTCCGGTTGTAAATTGGCGAAAAAGGCGGGGTTTACATGCACCATTATTTTCAGGACATTCTGTATGTGTCTTTGCTAAAAAAAAGTGGTATTTGCCTAAAACTATGAAATGTAGGTACCTTTTCGACAACTTGTTTTTACATATCTAATGCAAGTGTGTTGTGAATTTTAGTTTCTGATTTCAATTTCAGATGTCGAATGCATGTGCTTAGCCTTAGATCGAAACCAGTGCATGTCAAAAAAGCATTGAGTCAAGAGATATTCCGTTTTCAATTGTGAAACAGAAATGGACGAAGAACTCAAAACGCCAGTGGAGCTACAGCCTAGCTTGGGCTTTGAGAAGAAACTCGTCAAAGGATTAGTTCTTCAGTCATCCAAACCAGGTGAAGATTTCCATAAGACAGCACTTTAGTTAAGATTTGTAACAGTGAGCAAAGCAGGAAAGGGCTCCCCAATGAATGATCCTTTAAGGTTTCAATCACTTCAGCATTAAGAGCTTCTCGTGCATGCCGGGCAAACATAATTGTCTTTTTTTGTTAAGGATGGATCAAATTCAATTTCAGATGTCGAATGCATGTGCTTTGATCGAAACCAGCGGAAGTCAACAAACATTAGATTCATGAGATATTCCGATTTGGAAATGGCATTCGAAATACACCTTTTTTTAAAAACATTCAAGTAGTAAAACGCAGGTTGGATGTTTCGAAATACGTTGTTTTTTAGTGCATTTGATTTGTAAATAAAGTACACGTTTGAATGCATAATTTCTCTT